GGAGCGCACACACTTAACCACGGGGCCAGCCCCTGATGGTCACTTCTAATTGCTGTGGAAATTAAAAAATGAGTATCATTATCAAATCTAACAAAAATAATAATAATTCCTTAATAGCATCTAACATCCATTTTATGTTTGAATTTCTCCAGTTATCTCAAAAATATCTTTTTTACAGTTAGTTTGTTTGCATCAGGATCCAAACAATGTTAACACATTGCATTTGTTTAACATACCTCTTAAGTATCTTTTATTGCAAATGATGCTATTAGAAAGATTCTTTAAGGTTATGTGAAACTTTAACTTTACTATTGCTAAACTGTTTTCCAAAGTGATTTACCTATTTCATTCCTATAATTTAAGAGAACTGCACTTCCTTTCCCACTTTTGGTATTGTCAGACATATTATTTTTTGCCTATTTGAGAATGAGCCCCACTCTGTAAAGAAATGAGATGTGAGCCTAGTCTTCAAACATTGTGTATAATCAAGTATTTTAGATATAAAAATTTCATGTTCCCTGGAGATAATTATATGCCCCACCCAATCTGAAAGTCACTGTTTTAGCTCTGAGTACATCAGGATCTTTCTGTTATAGTCCAATGAAAGAATGAAGAAGTTAGTGACGTAATTATGTACTATTTAATATTTCCTAGGAAGGATATGACTGGTGCTGACTTTTCCCTCCTACAAAGTTCCTTTTCAACACATACATAACCCAAGGGACCAGATGTTGATTTTACTGTGAGGAGCGTCAGAATTCCTGTAACCTCTTTTCTTCCTTATTAGTATCCGTCATGGCAGGTTGTCAGCTCTGATGATGTCATAATGCTTTGTTTGTGGGGTCATCTGATGTCACTTATACCTTAGGAAGAATCAGCTTTTAAACAAAGTGAACCTTGGATGGTAAAACCTGATCTTCCGGAGCAGTTTTCTGAGATCATAGGGATAAAGATCTCCAGAAGAAAATATATCCGGAAAAGCTTTCCTCTTTCATTGGGATATATGGGTTTTACTCACTGTTGAAATGTTGACAACACAAACTGGGTTGACACCTGGTAATGCTTCTGGATGATTCCTGGTTGCCAAGAGCATCCAAACAGTCCTCAAGGACACAGTCCTTTTGCACAACAAAGGGAAAAACAGCCCATTTCTGGGAAAAGGGTGGAAGTCTGATAGGAAAAGTATACCATATAACTTTCTCTCTAATGATAAAGAACAGTGTGTTTCATAGTACATGATAGAATGATTGATGTATTTTAAAGATTTTTTTCCTTTTCAGACACATTTTTACATTACATTAGGGAATTTCCCAGAGAACATAACAATCTACTTTAAGAGTGGGAAGGATGGGGATATCCTACATTGCTCTTATATTGAAATCTTTTTTTTTTCCCCCCAAAGCCCCAGGAGATAGTTGTATGTCATAGCTGCACATTCTTTGCTGGATGTGGGACGTGGTCTCAGCATGGCCGGAGAAGCGGTGCGTCAGTGCGCGCCCGGGATCTGAACCCGGGCCACTAGCATTGGAGCGCGTGCACTTAACCGCTAAGCCACGGGGCCAGCCCTCAAATCTTAACTTATAGAAATTTTTTAAAATGCCAAGCTAATAAAATGACAGATTTTAAGCTTTCATTCTGGTAAAGTAAAAGCCTTCTACTCAAGGCACCAGCCACTTTAATTTTTAAAGACAGAACACGAGGTGCAAGACTTTGGCTACCATTTTCTTCTTATAAACCAATGACATCTTCAGTTCTGGAATAGCTTTTAAAGATGCGGCTTCTGATAAATGTTGGCAGATCTGGTGCATTCCCAGAATAAACCCTGTATCCTCAGCTTTCTCTACTCACATACACCCCTAGGGTGAACCACCACAAAACTGCCCACCACGAAATGGGCTGAAGAGAAGTCTAGATGTGACAGAAGGTGTAAGTGTATATTATAACGTGACACTGGTACATTAAAAAAAAAATTTCACATCCAGGATCAAATCTCTAATCAAATACCAATGCCAGAATAACCATAACTATCACTGACACACGTTAAGTTTAAAACGGAGGAGCTGCGGTAAAGGGGCGGAAATCGCACACAAACGAAAGAAAAACTTCAAAATCTTCTCTTCCCTTTCAGGCAAGTTTCAGCTCTTCAAATCTACTCTCGCCTTTAAAATACCCAAGTGCTGTTGTGCTCTCAATTCTCATCCCGTTGTAGAAGGAAATCTGTGTTTCTCTTCCCCAAATTAGGAATATGAGAAGTCTTCCAGGTCCTCAAAACCTGAAAGCAGCCCCGCGGGAAGTTTATCTGGCCCAAGGGTGTGAGAGTGGGCATGGTCGTGTGGAAAAGACATCTGAGGGGAAAAATCCGTAAACCACACACCTGTGGTTGGAAAAACAAAACACAAAACAGAGAAAACCCCTCGGGCCCAGACATCATCAGGATGTCGGAGCAGAGACAGAAAAAAAAACAACGTCCGTGTTCAGGTCAGAACCGGAGCGGCGTCCCCTAACCGGCCGGAGCAGCCGGCGGGCCAGCCCCCGACGCCCTAGAGCCGGCTGTGACCGAGGGTACCGACAGCGCCATTTACCGCGCCCCCACCCGCCCCTCCCCGCCGGGCGCCAGCCAATCCCCTCGCACCATCCCCTTCCCATCGCAGGCCCCGCCCCCGCGCCCGGGATGCTGGGCCCCCGCGGCGTGACGCGAGCACGGCGGCTCCGCCCCCTGCGTCTCTGGCCTCGCCGGCCTTGGGGGGATGGTTCCATCATGGCGTCAATGCAGGTGAGAGGAGTTTGCAGCATCTGGGCGGGCTAGGGAGCCGCCGAGAGGATGCGAGCGTCTCGTCGGGGACGGCGTCTGGGACCCTGGGGCACCCGGGCGGGTTCGGGAGCGGCCCTCGTGGCCCGTCCTGCCTCAGCCTCAGGGCGTTGGGGAGGGGTGAGAGGCGGCGAGAAGAAGGGCGGGGGGTGGGGGGGTCGCGGTCGGTCGAAGCGGACACCCGCCGGCCGCGAAGTTGGGGGAGAAAGAGGGCGAAGGGGAGGCAAGGGCCAAGTTTGGCTTTGGCTGGGCGGCAGTGGTCTCGGAATCCCCTTCCGTTCACGCAGGCGGCCTGCCCGCCCGCCCCAGGGATGCCTTTTCCTCCGTGGTCCCCGGCCGGGCGGAAACAGCTGCTCTCGCCGTTGTCGCCGGGGCAGGGGCGGCCCTGAGAGAGGCTGAGTGTGGGGAGCTGAAAAGGCGTTCCCCGAGAAGGCGGCTGGCTGCAAAGGCGATTCGCGGCCTCCGCTCAGGCCTCCCACGCCCGGCCTCCGGACCGCTCGGCCCCTCGGCTCTCCTCCCTTTGACTCTTAATCCTTTGCCCCGTGGGTACCTTTCTGTATCACCTCCGCACCCTCCACGAACATTCGTCCCCCTTTCTCACTGTCCCCGAAGCTGCCCTTAGTCCATCGACATCATTGGCCGCCTCGTAGGCGATCTCCCCGAGAGCCGAGTCACCAGTCCCCTTAGACCTCCCGGGATAGCTCGCCCTCAAATTTTTTTCCCTGCTGTGCCCCACCCTTGCGGTCGCGGTAAGGCTGCAGCCCTTTGCCCTTCTTCCCCAGATCTTTAGAGGAACCTCAGTTTGGTAGGAAGCGTTTGTTAACTCGTGTTGTATCTGCCTGACTTGGCAACGTGTGGTTTTCTGGCTTTGCTACTTAATATACTCCTTTTTTCCAAATCCAACGAGTTTGGTTTTTTTCAGGCAAAGATGGCAACCACAATTGCAGTTTTGTAGAGATTGACTCGCATTATCTATAGCTTGCATTTAATTTACAGATGAAGACTAGCTCTATCGAAACATATAGGAAGAGAAGAAGAATTGTCGTTTGGAGTGGCAGCTGAGCGCCTTTTAGAGTTTTAACATTTGCTTAAGAAGGAGACCACGTTTTTCTTAGAAGGATTTTGTGCTTTTGTTTCTAGAAGAATAAGCAAGTCTCCCTATCCACCCTCTTTGTTTTTTTCTTTCCTAGACGAGAACAGTGTTTTTCTTTCATCTCTTCTGTTTTCTGCATCTTCTTCCTCTTTTGTGCACGTTTGCTTCACATTGACTTCTGTACTTGTGTTATCCTCTTTCAACCTGTTTCTCATAGAATGTTCTTTTTACAGTTGCTTCTCCGTCTGGACTTCCTTGCAGAATAGGAAAAAAAAATTGTATATAACATTCCTAGTTGAAGAGATGTCACGAAACGATGCAGAGAAAAAACAATTTCAGAAACATTACACTTGACACTAGTCTCCACAGAGACGTTAGAGGAGTTTCATCATTTGAGGCTAAAAAAGGAACTGTGGAACAGTAGTTGAACAGTAGATGGGCTATATGACCAGTTTAAGATTATTCGTGCTAAGGTTAAAATTATTTAAGACTAACAATTAATATTAAAATCCCCAACACTTGTGATTATATTTGACAAGAGAATTGTAGGGATAGCTAATTAGCTGGTTAGATTTAGACTTCAAGTGTCTGGAAAAGGCAGATTTTAATTTTTAAGAGAATGGGCCGGCCCCGTGGCTTGGCGGTTAAGTGCGCGCACTGTGCTGCCGGCGGCCCGGGTTCGGATCCCGGGTGCGCACTGACGCACCGCTCCTCTGGCCATGCTGGGGCCGCGTCCCACATACGGCAACTAGAAGGATGTGCAGCTATGACAGACAACTATCTGCTGGGGCTTTGGGGGAAAAATAAATAAATAAAAAATCTTTAAAAAAAAAATAATTTTTAAGAGAAAAAGCTGAGTTGGCACAGAACTTAATGTTGATAATCTTGAATTTTACATGGCGACTTAAGCAATGGAAAACAATACTTGCCAGTGCAATACTGCATTTTTCTGACTGTCTTATCACCCTTTTATTCCTTTGTCTTTTGATTAGAGGAATAGAAAACTGATGTTTCCTATTTTAATTAAAATAAAACTAAATCTTTTATTTGTATTTTTTAAATATCTGATAAAGATTTTCTGGTAGTATCTAGAAAAATATTTTAATATAGATAAACTTTTTGAAACACAGCACTACTTTCTGTGATTATTCTGTGTCTGGTGAACAACATTTTTTCCTACTTAGTAGTAGAATTTAACTCTTTTCAGAATAACTAAGTTACACATAAAACTGCAACCAAATTATGAAATTTGTTCATTCACTCATGAATTATTTTTTGAGGGCCTACTATGTATCAAGTACTCATCTAGGTGCTGGGGATATGGCAGTGAACAAAAGCAAGATTTCTGCCCTTGTGGATATAGTAGTCCAATTGGGGGAGACAGATAAGAACAAAATATTTGCTAGTTGCACATTATATTAAAAGGTGATAGTGATATGGAGAAAAAGCGTGGAAGGAGGTTGTGAAATGGATATTTTTGGGATTTCAGTAGAGCGCTTAGGAAAAAGTACACTGTACATGAATGCTGCTCTGACCATGTCCTTGCCTAGAAAGTTTTCAGTAGATTTCTTTATTTTACCCACACCGGGATATTACTACTGCTGAAGAGGTTATTAAGCTTTAAGAGGAACTGTGTTTTAAAAACATGTATATCATACAAGTGTAACATAGGATTTGATTACTTGAATTGATAAAATGAAATAAATTAGTCTTCAGGATCAATAACATCAAGTAAAGGTAGACTTTGAATTTCTCATTGAAGAGGATTGAGGTTGTAATTGCTTTAGTGTACTCTATCAGTGCCTTCCAACCTTTTTTCAGGTCGTGGCACAGATAGAAAATAATTTTTGATTTGTGCGCTAAGGTGGGTAAGGTTGTTGGAGGTTGGAAGCACCTGGCCAGGCAGCTCCAGGTGAAACATTGGGGATGAGGATCAATATTCTGGTACACCTGTAATGCTGGAGAAGCTCTGCTCTATAATATTGCTAGAGTTGTTCAATATACAGTTCAAGATTGTAGTTTTCAAACTTAGCTGAGCCCTTTGAGACGTTCTTTCCCATTTTTTTCTTCCTACTGTTTCTTCCTAGAACAAAGTCACAAATGGCTCGGTAAGATTATGGTTAGATTATGTTTTAAGAAACTGTTCTTAGAGAATGGTGGGCTTATGGTGGTACTTAAAATTGGCAGGAGTTAAATAGATGTACATTTAATTTTGGTAATTCTAGAAATCTTAAAATATTAAATGGAAAGTTGTTTGTAGCAAATTTTTAGATTTGGCGTTTTAGCGACTTTCATGATTTGGTGCAGACTTTGTATCTCCAAACTACAAAAGCATTATTAAAGTGAATTTTTATGTGATTCTAAACATTTCTTAAAAGTGTAGCAGTATTGGGATATTCTGTTTTCAGCTAAACCATAAAACTGTATTTTTTGTGTCATGTTTCTTTTTTCATTTTGTACTTAATCTTTTTTTTTCTTTCTTTCTCTTTTGGCTCACTTCATATTATGAAATACTTAACTACTTTGGCCTCCTGGATATATTTTCTGATTTTAGAACTTAGCTGTTTCATTCAGACCTATCTTATATTGGAAGCTTTTAAGTATACCTTGTATACTTTTCTAATTTGACCGTCTAGATTTATTTATTAATTTTAGGTATGAACTCCCCTTACATTATGTGTTAAGATCTTAGAAAGTCAGTGCGTAGTAGTCCATAATTTGTCAACTCTAAAAACAGTGATAAAATTGAGAGAAATGGTCAGTTGAATTCTTAGGGATTTTCTGCATTTTCTTCCTCTCTCTTGCCTAATTGGTTCTTACACTATTGACTGTTGATTTGGCTAGATAGAAGGAGATTGAGATCTAGTAACAGGAGATGGATTATAAATGCGTGCTTATTTTCAGATGATTTAGAAACAATAAATTATTTTGGATTATTCACAGCTCTGCATTGCTCTTTGCTCAAGTAATTGGCTGTAGTGATTGAGAGAGATGGAATATGGGCTCATACCGACATTACTATTATTGTAGTCACATTCCCTTGACGATTAGAATCCGTATGACTTGGGCTGGCCCTGTGGCTTTGTGGTTAAGTGCGCGCGCTGCGATGCTGGTGGCCCGGGTTCGGATCCCGGGTGCGCATCGAGGCACCACTTCTCCGTTCATCCTGAGGCCGAGTCCCGCATACAGCAACTAGAAGGATGTGCAGCTACGACATACAACTATCCACTGGGGCTTTGGGGGGAAAAAATAAAATAAATAAAATCTTTAAAAAAAAAAAAAAGAATCCGTATGACTGTTTGTTGATGTCTTCATGAAAGGTTACAGCATAATCAAAAGTTAGAAAATTGGCCATCATCTTGGATCCTGAGATTTACTAAGCAGTGGGAGCTTGGGGTGTATAGCTAGAATTATAGTATCAGAGCAAGTTGGCTGCATACTCTGGTTAGGAATAGGGCTGTGAGGGAGTTATTGGAGCAAGTGCCAAGGGAAGAGGGGAACAGCGTAGAAGAGAATTGAGGGTGTTCTGTGTGAATGATAAACATAAGTAGATAGTAGACTACGTGTGAACAAAAGCATAAAAAGCTAGGGTAATCATCTTCTCTTAACTCCTAAAGCAGTCATTGTGGTACTTTTATTTTTGCTGTTAATCAATTACTGCTTTATGAGATGCCTTCTGTTTTTGCCCTGAAGTGTTTGTTTGGGTCTTTTGCTTAACTTTTCAGGTCTCTTCCACTCCCCTGAGCCATAGATTTCCAAGAGAACAGGAAAAATGCTTTCTCTCTATCCCTTAAATGTGCACAGAGTGACTACAGTAAATGTTTGTCCATCACTTGACACTTCAAAATGGCATTCCTAAATAGCAAATTCT